ATTCATTCAAATATCAATAATAGCAAGATAAAAATTTCATATTAATATTTATAAAATTCCAATTTATCAAGTATATTGTCTACTGAATTTTTTAATTCATTTTTTAAAAATTTCATCTCATTTTAGGTACTATAGAATAATCCACAGGATTGCATCGGGATTATTTAACTTTGTGGAATATTACAGTTATTCACTTTATGTTATTGGTTAATTAAGTTGGAGTATATTATTTAGAGATTATTTGAGGTTCTAAGTCTAACATTGAATTATTAAGGGTATGATTTAAGTGGATGAATCTATAAAAAAGTGGTTTAATTCAATAATTGATCTAGTAACTATTAGCCTAATTTTAATTTCGTTAGAAAGTTAATTTTCTTTCTAAACAATCTATAAACTTTGTAAAATATTTTAAAATAGTTTATTGTATAAAAATTCTATTTGTTTTAACAGATAAAGAATTGAAAAGTTAAATCAAAATCAAAATAATCCAATCAACAAAGCAGTTTACAATAGATTATGCCAACTATTAAAATATGTAAATAATCATGATTTCTACTATGGAAAATGATATGTGCACACCCGGATTCAACATCCGGGTGTGCACACTCCACATAAAAAAAAAAAAATAGAGAACACCCGATCCATTTTTTTTTTATATAGAGGGTGCACACCCGGGTGTGCACCAATCATAGTCTTTTCTACTATAAAGGAAAATTGTTAAAAGAAAAAACTGAAACAATAAGTGATAAAAGTTACAGTTTCTTCAGCAGTAAAAAGGAGTTTATTATCCTCACAAAATTAATTTTATCTCAAAATCAAAAATTCACAAAAGATATAGTTGACGGTCAATTTGACCAAATAGAGTGAAACTGTTATTAGAAAATTAACAAATTAACTAAATTGCAATAAAAGTGAAAGATAGTAGATGAATATAAAAGTATTTAAAAATAATAGATGAACAAAAAAAAAAAAACAAAAATTACTAAGCTATTTATTAAATTAAGCCATAAAAAAATTGTTAAGATTTACATTTTAGATAGCCTTTTGAGTTTGTATCGGTTTGTGGCTTTTGTCCTCTCTTGACCTATGAGTTTGAGCATGACAAATTTCCAATTGCTTTGCTTTGTAACCGGCTGTTTGGCGTTGCCTAGAATTTTCACAATTCTGAGCAAAGCTAGCCGATTATTTTCCGCAACTTTCTGAGATTCTTCTTTAGGAGAATATGCAAGCCAAACATGCCCTAACTTATTTTCTCTATAGGAAAATAATTTAATTTGATATATCGTCTATTAATTATTGACATTTTTTAATTTTAATCTAAAATTTTTATTTTTTTTTCTAAAGTTGTCTATTAAGCTTCCAAAACTATATCAATTTCATCTACTTAAAAAAACCCCATTAGTTAGATGGACAATAGTTCATGTCATTGCTTACATGGCATTGTGTAAGCTGCAGCATAAGCAATGCGTAACTTGAAAATAGAAGGAAAATTCTCGTCTGTTGACTTCCCTAACCTAATTAACAACAAATAATTAAATTATAATCTAATCTAATTTAAAAAACTTAATCAAAATAACAAAAATAAAATTAATCAGGCCTCATGCTATTTATTGACAGCTTATGCAATGCTACACAAGTGATGACATGAACTTCTATTAATCTTATTAGTGGAATTTTGTTAGTTAAAAATTAATAGATGACTTTAAAAAAAATTTAGATTAAAATGAAAAAGTATTAATCATTAATAGTTGATTTATTAAATTAAAGTCACAATAAAACATGAGAATATAAAGTCCCTCCGCTTGTAAGTTGCAAATAATACGGCCCGTTGGAAGGCCCAGTCCAATCTTACCGAGGGAAAATATATACAGTGCAGAGTGCACAACGCGTGGCAGCATCAGTCTCTTCTACGACGCCGTCTCAC